GGGTATAGTGACGCCAGCTTTCAGACCGACAGGGACAACTACCGTTCGCAGTCGGGTTGGGTCTTTACTCTGAATGGAGGAGCAGTGACTTGGAAGAGTTCCAAGCAGGAAACTATAACTGATTCAACGTGCGAATCAGAGTATATTGTAGCGAGCGAAGCGTCGAAGGAGGCAATATGGTTGAAGAACTTCATTAGTGATCTTGGAGTTGTACCTACCATAAAGGAGCCCATGGAGATTTTCTGTGATAATGAAGGAGTGGTTGCCTTAACCAAGGAACCAAGGGATCATGGTAGATCTCGACATATCGACAGAAAATATCACTTTATTAGACATCGTGTAGAAGAAGGACAACTCGTAGTGAAGAGGATATCATCGGAAGATAACCCAGCAGATCCGCTTACGAAGGGACTGAGTAGGGTTAGGCACTTGTAGCATGCTAGGAGTATTGGGCTGAAGGATGATATTAGTATAGATTAGATGGTAGTAGAAACGTGTAATAGATAAATGTAATTAACATTTGACGATTAAATAAAAGAGTATTATTTATGAGTAATGTTACTGTCTTATGTTAATTGTTTAACTATTGTTTCATTCTGCATGTTTTGACATCCAGAATAATTGAGTTTATTAAGAATAATCGAATTATTCAAATTATCCACAATCGTTCATATGTTGGAAGTAGATATGAATGAAGATTGTCATGAATTGGTGCGTAGATTGTCTAAATGGTATTAGACATAGCAAAGGGTTGCTGCAACGTTCATGAGTGCTTATGAACTGGCTTTGAGCATTGGAACAAACCCGCGCTTGCTGGAATCACCTTATGGAATATGATATAAAAGGGTGATCGCAAGACGATAATATCATATAGTCTTAAAACCTAGATATATGGTTTGTTATTTGCTGATTGGTTGTACATTGATAATGCGAAAACGCATCAGTAACTCGATGTTATAAAACGCATTGTTGTGTATAGTTGATTAATGAATAAGTAAATGCATATAAGTCGAATTTTATCTGTTACTTTTATCCTAAGAGGTTAAAAGTGATATCTCGGCTGCTCGATGATTTGATTTGACTTATGTGTCGGGCCCGGTCAGAACTGAATTGATGTGTTCGATAAAGTTCTATGTCAAATGAATCAGAGATCGAGAAACCAAATGCTAGACAAAGTTGATTCCATAAAATTGTCAGCATGATATCTGAACAGAGGACTGTACGATCCCTTATCTAAAGGACAAGATTGATTAGATCAGATTTTGACAGCGTCTTTGAGAACTACGATTGCAAATCGAATTGTACTTGTGCATATAGTTACTAGAGTTATCCAAGTAGGAGACTGTTGGAATAGTGTCTAAGGCTACAACTATATTTGGCAAGTATTTGACCCGGTTGTGCATGGTCCTTTTGGGTTACCTTCACCATAGCAACTTGACAGGATGATTTATAATGAGAGAAGGAATATTATAAGGAATAATAATATTGTTTGATTAATATAAGTCATAAATTAATTAGGAATTAATTTGGTGACTTAAAGAGATTAATTAAACAAAGGGGTATAAACTGTCAATTGTTTGATAGTTACACTTTGGGCTGTAAATCCTTTAAAGTTAAGGGGTGGACGATTTCTAGGGCTTGGGATAAGTCACAAATCGTCCAAGGGCTTATCTTGGAAGGGATTTGGATTGCTTTGAGTAATAGTTATCCAACTAGGGTTTTAAAGTGAAACTCAAAGAGCCTTACAAGTATAAATAGACCCCATGGGCAAGGGAAATTGGCACTTGTGTTATTGGAAGGTTACCCTAGCCGATTTCATCCCCTTTCCTCTTTCACATATCATCCTCTTGCTAGTTGGTGTTTGTAAGCCATTAGAGGAGTGACATTTGTGACTCTAAAGCTCCAAGAACAAGAAGAAGATCAAACAAGTGTTTTGAGGTAAGCTTCTAACTCTGGTTTTGTATTGTTCTTATACTCAATTAGCCATTAGAAGTCTTGGATTCAATGTATGTTCAATTAGAGAAACCTAGATCCAAGCATTAGGGTTTGCACGTGTACATAGGAATGTTCATATGGCCAAAACCCATCACATTGACCTAGGATGCCAAGGCAACCCTCCAAGGTCTTATACCTAAGTGCCTCAGGAACCCCCTGAGGTCTTCCATACAAACACAATCACATATCATATCAAGGCACATGATGTCTAACCATGTAACATAATCACATAATGGGCCGACCTTGGTGCCTTAGACCCATTGGTATGGTGAGGAGACTCACCTCAATCTGCTAAATACAAACACTGCCCTCCTAACAATCCGCAGTCCCCCGAGCAGGACAATAATAATGGTAATATAATCAATATTAGAACTTTAAATTAACCAAGGGGAAACCAACCTCCAAACCCCTCCCCAAGGCCTAAATACCCTTTTCTTGCTAATGGTCCCCAAAGTCCAAGTCCATTATCCTTATTGGGCCTCTTGGACCAATAACGCCCAACCATTGCATCCATAGGCCATACAGATGAAGAAGTCCATAATTCACAGCATACAACCAAGCCCTATACTCAAATGAGGCCCACCGACTTAAAGGCCCAAAACAGATTAAGGCCCAACTGTTGTTGCGTACGCCCAACGTACCATCTTGGTAAGTGCAGCGTACTGAGGTTTTGGGGGCTATGCGCCGCGTACAACTAGCTATGCCCATCATACACACAGTTTAAGCACTTTCTCCATTAAGTGCTTAATGCTTGGTTTCCTCACGACCAAAAATCAGATCTATGTCTGTTAAAATGTCCTAAGGCATAAAGTTGCAACTTTGTGCCCTTGCATGCCTCAAAATTGTCCAACACTTCCATTAAGATCTTTTCAGGGTTCTTAATCCATGCATGAGGCTTAAATATCCATCAAGATCCCATTTTTATGCTTCTAAATGACCAAGGGACCTCATATATGTCATCCTCATCTTATGGAGTTGCTTAACTCATCAAGAGAGGTCCAAAACCAACCAAATGGGCAAAACTAGAAAACCCTAGCTAGATCTAAGGGCTTAGATGGAAAGGTGCAAGCTTTTTACCTCCATAAGCTTTGTAAGATGAGTTTGATGTTGGATCTTGAAGCACCTATACGATCCAAGCTTGCTTGACCACTTCTTCTTCTTGCAACGAACACTAAAATGTCACAAATGCACTCTTTTAAGCTCAAGAATTATCTCACAAGGTTCTCTGGGGTGCAAGGACGCTCTAAGGCTATGGAGGCTCTCTGGGGTTAAGTTCAAGGGACTTAAGATTGTTTAAATAGGCCTCATGTCCGAAGATTAGTGTTTTGGCTCTCTGACGTGTACACCCAGCGTACGTGACGCTTCTCCGTGATCAATCATGCAGAGTAAGCTAAGCATACACCTATGTACGCCCAACGTACCCAGGGGCCAAATATGTTCATAAATGAAATCTTGAGGGTTTCCAAGACATACCAGATCAGGGTGTTACATGAACGAATTTTTTAGGTTTTTCTCACGATATTTTATGTGGGACAATCATTAATGAGTTGTTTGGGGCTTTTGATGCTTATGTCCATCACGATCTCGACTACATGGTAGCTTAGGTCATATGTTCTGAACGTCATAACTTCATCATACGATCTCGAATTTTAACGATCTTTATGTTCATGTATTCGTAGTTTAGTTTCCTACGCAACCAAGCGGTCGAGATCACGATGGACATAAACATTAACAGTCTCAAACACCTCATCAACGATTGTCCCACGTAAGATATCATGAGAAAATCCTAAAGAAATTATTCATAAGTACTGAATAAGTACAAAAAAAAAAAAAAAAGACTTATTTTAAAACAAAAAATTCTTAAGGAATAAATGTGTAAAAAAATATTAAGGACTAAATGTGTACAAAATGAGAAATAGATTACCCAATTAAGTCATTTATCCCGGTAAACTTGGAGTAATCGGTCATAAGGACTGAATGTGTATAGTTTAAGAAGTTGAAATGGGTAAATGTGAATGAAAAAAAAGTCAGTAACCAAATATATACAAATTAAAAAAATATATTACTCTTTTATGTCATTATCCCTAGGGCTGTTCACTATTTGGATAAAACCGAATTGTCCAGTTCGACAATTTGGATTGGACTATTTGGTTTGGAAATTCGGCTTTTTGGATTGGTTTTCAACAAAACCGAATTATTATTTTGGATTTCGGATTAGTATTGGTTTATAAAATAAGAACCGAATAGTCCTAAAAAACCGAATAAACATTTATTATTCATTTATTTATAATATATATCTATAGTTCTCTATTGATTTTGTAATTTATTTTTTCATATAAGTTCAAAACATTTCACCCGATAAAAAAACATCAATATGTATTATCTCTCAAAAGTTTTCTATTTATAAAATATTTAACTATAATATATCTGGTTAGTAGTTGTTTGTACGTAAATTTCAAATAACAACTAAATAATTTTTTTCGCTTCATGTGTAAAATTGGGTAATATTATAATTATATGTCGTTTTAAAATATTTTGGTTTTTGAAAACCGAATTATAAAAACCGATCCAACCAAATTGTAATTGGATCGGATCGGATTGAATTTGAATTTAGTTTGGACTATTCGGATCCATGTTTTGAAAACCGAAAATCAATTTGGATTCATTTGATTTGATGGGATCAAACTGATCCATCCAAAGAAACACCCTAATATTTATCCCATCATTTAAATACTTAAATGCAAAAGAGAATGACTAAATGCAAAATTTTAACAAACACAAGGAGGATTTCTATAATTTTGTTTTCTTATTATAATTTGGTGAGGCATTTGAAACCTCTTAGAAAGTTCGTTGATGTGTACTTTATATTATTCTTATCCGAAAGGGAATATTGAGATCGGATTGTCTGCAGGTTCACATCCGATCCCTAGTTTCTTTGCAATTATTGCGTAAAATTCCTCACAATAAAGATTCAATATATGTAAGATTTATCAAGAAATCTTTCAATGGCGTCTTCCGCCTCATCATCATCCGTTCAGAAGATCTTTAAGTATCATGTGTTCTTAAGTTTTAGTGGTGAAGACACGCGTAAGACGTTTGTTGATCATCTTTACGCTTCTCTTACACGACAAGGTATTCACACCTTCAAGGATAGTGAGGAACTCGAGAAAGGAAAAAAGATCGATGAGCTCTTTAAAGCTGTTGAAGAGTCAAAGCTCTTTATCATTGTTTTCTCCAAAAACTATGCATCTTCTTCTTGGTGCTTGAAGGAGGTTGCGAAGATCATGGAGTGCCAGGATTCGATCGAACAGATAGCTTACCCGCTCTTTTATGATGTGGAGCCCACTGACGTACGCAGACAAAGTGGACCAGTTGGAGCAGCCTTCGCCAAACATAACACCAGCGAACAGGCTGGGAAATGGAAAGAGGCTCTGAAAGAAGCAGGCAATCTGGTAGGATGGGATCTGAAAGAGATTGCTAATGGGTAATTCCTTTATCATATCTCTGCATTACTATTCTTTCATTTGGGTATTTCTAACATAGGTTCATCTTGGCATGTATGTTGTATTGTCAAATTCTAATTTAAAGCTTAGTCAGATAGATGAAACATGAAATATGCGTATGCTGTTAGTATGTGAATTTGGTTGTTTGTAGACCTGAAACTCATTGGTTATGTGGGCTGTTGAGCAAGTTACTTGAATCTTCTTTAATCTACAGGCATGAAGCTGAAGCCATCGATCAAATTGTTGGAGAAGTTTCACTCAAGTTACGTTCCATACGTTTGAGCAATGATGAAAATCTAATAGGCATGGAATCCCGAATGCGAGATCTGGAGTCGTCTTTAGAGATTGGCTTGAACAATGATGTCATCATGATTGGGATAAAGGGGATGGGGGGCATTGGGAAGACAACTTTGGCCAAAGCTATTTTCGATAAAGTATCATTCCAATTTGAAGGTATAAGCTTTGTTGAGAACGTGAGGGAAGCTTCAAAAACACCACGGGGTTTACTGTCATTGCAACAACAAGTCCTTTCAGATGTATTAAAAGATGGAAACAAGCATAATTCTCATGATGGAAAATTTATGATGCAAACAAGGCTGCGCTTTAAAAAAGTGCTTCTTGTTCTAGACGATGTGGATCGTAAAGAGCAGCTTGAGGCGTTAGCTGGTGCTTTGAATTGGTTTAAGGACGGAAGTAGAATTATCATTACAACAAGAGACAAGCAAGTGCTGAAAGCACACTCAGTGAATAGGATTTATGATGTCAACTTATTGTCGAAGGAGGAAGCAATTAGCCTCTTCAATAGGTATGCATTTGAGAGATATGCTCCAATGCAAAGGTATGAAGAGCTGTCACTAAAAGTTGTACATTATGCTGATGGTCTTCCTTTAACTATCAAAGTTTTGGGTTCTTCTCTGCGTGGTAAAGAAGAGCTTGAATGGGTAGATGCACTAAAAAGGCTAGAAAAGATTCCGTGTCAAGAAACTCTAAAAAAATTGGAAATAAGCTATACCAGTCTAGAGGATGATCACAAGGAAATATTTCTAGATGTTGCATGTTTCATGAAGGGGTTGCAGAAAGAGGATGCAATTAGAATACTTGAAAGCTGTGGATTACATGCTATATATGGTTTATCAGTTCTTGAACAAAAATCCCTCATAACTATTTCAAATCAGCGTTTGGCTGTGCATGATAGCATAGAAGAATTGGGCAGGAATTTAGTTCAACGAACTCACCCCCGCAAGCCCAACAAACACAGCCGACTGTGGGATCGCGAGGAAATTGAAGTCTTATTATCTGGGGATATGGTAAGTATCAAATTTACTTATAACATGGAAAAAACGAACACATTTTTATTAGTTATAACACTGGTTTCATTGCGACGACTTAATTTTGGATTACAGGGTACTAAAGCAACAACATGCATACGACTCGAGCAGGTGGAACTGCATCCGGAAATCGTTATGAAAGGCCTTGGAAACCTGAAGAAACTTAGAGTTCTTCTGGTTTCTGAGAGAGAAAATGAGTGTTCTCCTAGTGATTGGAAGTTTGATCAAGCCAAACAATACTTTTCAAATGCATTACAGTTTCTAAGTTGGGAGGGTTACCCTCTTCGGTCTTTACCCCAAACATTTAGAGCAAATAATCTTGTTGGACTTGAATTGCCTAGAAGCAGAATCACAAACCTTTGGGAAAGTGGAGATGAAAAGGTACAATGGTTATTTTACAACTATTTGTTAGTACATACTACATACAGCAATAGTCATCTTACATTTCTTCTTTTTGCATGATAGGTACTTAAGAAGCTGAGGTTCCTCGACCTTAGTTATTCAAAATTGAGGACCCTTGACCTTGGGCTGACTTGTAATCTCGAGAGGTTAGATCTTAAAGGATGTCATGATTTGAAAGAACTTCATGTGCCCGATGGATGTCTAGGAAAGCTCGTCTATTTAAACTTAATTGGTTGTTCAAAGTTTAAAAAATCTTTTTTGTTTGTGAAAGGGTTGGAATCGCTTAAGCTTCTTTCTTTATCTAAGTTAGAGCTGACTGTGGAGCTACATGAATCCCAAAGGTACTCCTACGACAATTTGCCAAAGCTTCGGTTTACCTGTATCTATTCTGAAGAAGAGCCCTTACCGATCGGAAATGGTCAGAAGTCTGTTTATCTAGATCTTCAGCCTCGCAAAAAACTTGAGTGTCTTTCTGGAAGCATTTGTGGTTTACAACACCTAAGGCACCTTACATTGAAGGGCTGTATTCCAGAGGTGCCCAATGACCTTGACCGGTTAGAATACTTAGCGAAGCTCAATTTGTTGTCCACAGACATTAAATGTCTTCCGGATAACATATGTTTATTGAAACATCTGAGATCTTTCAAACTTGAATCTTGTCTGCTTCTTGAAGAGTTACCCAAGGATCTTGGCCAATTAAAATGTTTGGAGAAGCTAAGTTTGTTGTCTACAGGCATTAGACGTCTTCCAGATAGCATATGTATGTTGAAATGTTTGAGATCTCTCAAAGTTAAATCTTGTTTGCTTCTTGAGGAGGTACCCGAGGCGCTTGGCCAATTAGTATGCTTAGAGAAGCTAAACTTGTTTTCTTCACGTATTAGGAGTCTTCCAGGTAGCATTTGTATGCTGAAACATCTGAAATCTCTAGATCTTGAATCTTGTGGACTCCTTGAGAAGTTACCCGAGGATATTGGGCAATTAGAATGTTTAGAGAAGCTGATCCTAAAAAAGTGTGCATCATTAGAAGATATTCCAAATAGCATCTGTAAGATGAAACGTTTGAGATGTTTCCATCTCCCCTTTTGTCATCAGGTGGAGAAATCACCGAGGAACTTGGAAGTTTAGAGTTTTTAATAGAGTTGCATATAAAGTGTACAGGAATATGCTGAAGTTCAAACCTTCTGCCATACACAAGCTGCGAGTAACACACGGGTTCCAAGTTTGTACAAAATTAAGGAGATCATTCACACAGAACCATCTTAAGAGGCATTTATAATAAATTGTCTTATATTAAAGACCGTTGGCCATTCATGAAATAGTTTGAAGTTTTAATGATTAGAGCAGTCCATTTCTACTCTTTATGTATTTATATATTTTGCTTCACATTTTGCGATTATAATCATTTTTTATTGAAATTTAAGCCTATGGTAGCTCAATCGCCATTTGTGTTAACATAAGTGTTCAAGTTGAAACAGAGGACATCCAAAATTGAGACTTCAATGAGAGACGTAAAGAAGGTGAAAAGTCTAATTATTATTCAATAGATAAACTTTATCATTATCATTATGAGATGTAAAGTTGGCATTTAATTCATTTGTAGTTGAAAGGACATTGAACTTTTTAATGAGAAAAAAGAAAAGTTTTTTAAATCTTAAATATTATCAACTAGCTTTTTGTAATGTTTCACTAAACATTGTGGAGTTCAGTGCATAAGAAAAAACTCTTAGAGATGCATGGAATGTACAATGATGATGTTACAGTCTATTAAACTCTATTGAGTTAAATGCATTGTGGGTCGAACTAGTTGGCCTCTAGACCCGTTGAAACGGTTATATTGAACTGTTAAAAACCGATTTTGATGAGAAAGACTATTTTTGACGAGAAGTTGATAGTGAATTTTATTTACTAAGCCATTGTGAGAGTGATGCACTTGAAACTCCAAAGTCTTAAAATCCTTGATTTGGTTTGATCTTGATATGTTTGTATTAATCTAAAATTATATTTTGTTTTGATATTATTTATATTTCTTTTTAATATATTTGGATTGATGTAAAATTAGGGTTGTGTTTTTTCTAATGCATTTTGATTGATCAAAAACTTATTTTATGTGTATTTTAAATGTTTGAACTTATAGACGTCAAATGTTTGAACTTATTTTATGTGTATTTTAAATGTTTGTTTTGATATTATTTTATTCCACCATCACCACCACCTGCCACCCACCGAACCACCACCACCACCCGTAACCAACACCCAACCCACCACCCACAACTAACACCACCCATCACATCCACCACCACCTGCCTCAACCACCACCCATCACCATCACCTCACTCACCACTCACTACCATCATTACCATCAGTCACCACCATCCCTACCACTAACTAACACCCACCAACATCATCCCCAACTACCATGATCACCACAAATCACCTACCACCACCGTCACCACCAAGCATCACCATATACCACTACCACCAATCACCACCACCTGCTATCATCCATCCATCAACATCACCACCACCGACCCACCCACCATAACCACTACCATCCACCACCCCACATGTCAACCCACCACCTTTTACCACTACCATCTACCACCTATCACCACCCATAACCACCACAAATCAATTATTACCCACAACCTTTGTTACCTATGACCCGCCACCACCACCCACCCACCCACCACTACCACCCATCACCACTACACCCTATCTTCACCACCCATCGCCACCACACGACCACCACCCACTACCTACAATCATTAACATTGTATGTGTTTAAAAACATAAAATGGCATAAATCATGTGTGCTTATATGTACTTTTTTATATGTATTTAATCATATAAATCACATGTGATTAGATGCATATAATCACATATGATTATATGTATATAATCGCATATGGTTTATATAAACAACATTCGTTAAACACAAATATTTTCCAAATAAATCACATATGATTAAATATGTATAATCACGTGTGATTAAATCATATGTGATTAGATACATATAATCACATGTGATTAGATTTTTTTTATCAAATAAAGTTAAATTTAACAAAGAAAAATTACTGAATCGAGAACATGATAGTGAATCTTCTCCAGAAAAATCATATGTGATTGGATATATATATATATATATATATATATATATATATATATATATATATATAATCAAACATGTGGATAATATTTATTTTCCTGGTTTCAATTTAATAATTGGTCTTATGTATTTTATCACATGTGATCATATGTATTTAATCATATATGATTTATGTGGATAATATTTGCTTTCGCGTCCTTAATTCAATTGTTGTTCGAGTGTACATAATCACATTTGATTATATGTATCTAATCAAATATGATATGTATATACAAGATTCTTTTTTCTAATTAAAATCATATGTGATTAGATGTATTTAATCACATGTGATTAAATGTATTTAATCACATATAATTAAAGTGGACAAAGAATAATTACTGAATCGAGAACACAAAATGAATCTTGTACAGATAAATCATATGTGGTTATATATATATATATATATATATATATATATATATATATATATATATATATATATATATATATATGATTTAAATGAATAAGATTCGATTTTATTTTCTTATTCAACAGTTTTTCTCGTGTTTATAATCACATGTGCTCATATGTATTTAATCACATTTAATAACGTTCTCAAGTATTTAATCATATGTGATTATATATGGTTAATTATATGATTTATATGGACAACATTTGTTTTCATGTTTTCAGTTCAATAATATTCTCGTCTATTTAATCATATGTGATTATATATATATTAAATCATGTATGATTTATGTGGAATAATTTTTCAGTTGTATTTAATCACATATGATTAAAATAGATAAAGAACAATTATTGAATCGAAAACGTGAATATGAATCTTGTCTAGATAAATCATGTGTGATTAGATACATATAATCACATGTGATTATATGGATCCAATCATATATGATTTATAAGAACAATATTCATTTTTGTGTTTTCACTTCAATAATTCTTCTCATGTATTTAATCACATGTGATCAAATAAATATAATCACATGTGATTAAACCAAACACCTACTACCCACCGACCTACCCACCACCTCCACCGTCACCAACCACCACCTATAACTACCCACCACCCATTTTATTTATATTTGATTTAAAACACCAGAAAAAAAAATTATTGGATCGAGACTGCAAAAACAAATCTTAAGTAGTGGGTGGTGTTTTGTGGGTAGCGGTAGTTGGTGGGTGGTATGAGGTGGGTAGCGGTGGTGGGTGGGTGTGTAGTGGGTGGGTAGGTGGTAGTGGTAGTAGTGGGTGGTGGTGGTAGGTGGTTGTGGTTGGTGATGGGTTTAATCACTTGTATTTAATTATATATGATTTATGTGGGCAATATTTATTTTCACGTCGATTCAATAAAAAACAACTAGTGTATTTAATCACATGAGATTTATCACATGTGACTTTATGTATTTAACCACATATGATTAATATGGACAATGAACAAGTATTGAATCGAGAACACAAAAATGAATCATGTGTTTAAAAATCATTCATGATTAAATACACAAGAACAGTTATTGTATCGAGAACGTAAAATGAATCTTGTCCGTATAAATTATATGTGATTAGATACATATAATCACATATGATTATATATGTTTAATTACATATGATTATGTGGACAATAATTTTAATTTTATCACTTTCAGTTTTATATGTTTAAGTGCTATATGTATGTAAACAAGAAAACCACAATTACTTGCTTGAAAATAAATCTACTTCATTCCAATAATTTATATTTTTACAAATCACTAATGCTAAATATAATGACGTGAATGTGAAATAGGCTCGTTTCAATTTTGTTTTTAGCTTATCATACAATATAAGGGTTAGGTAGAGTTAAATAATATATAGTTTCTAGAAAAAATATACTAACCTTTTAAATAATGATAAATTTAAGTAATGAATCGTTATATTCACATATGTTTTGTTTCTTGCAAGAACAATGATAGACCAATAATGTTGCAACTATCATATTTAAAGTTATAAATTTTCTACATATATGTGTTTTGTGTCCTTAAAGTTGTAGGGCTAATTATTCTATAACTACTATTAAATAATTTATCTAAAAATGATTCATAAATATGCACAAAATATATGGAACCAGGTTTCAATACTTCTTCAAATAGATAACTATATCATAGCTTCCATGCCAAGTAATTGACCCTTGCAAAAGTGATTGGTATCCTAATTATTACCTATAGAAACATTCCAATAGGAGAAAGGTAATACCTTAGACTTCATGTGTGTCTCAACTTCCAAATAAGATACCCATATGCAACATTATTTTGAAATATTCCAGTCAAAGAATTTGGTTTTTTGTTACCACTGTAAGATGATGCAATTACTTTTCATTAATAACTATTTTTTCCATCATATCAACAAGAATATGACCAGGATTCCTCTGTCTTACTTGTAGAAGACATGTTATAATCATTTTTAAGTTGTACTACATTATGAAAGTAAAATAAGTAATGTTAACAACAAGGTATGTGACACACCCCGCTAAAGCGGAAGTATGGGGTGTGGCAGTATAAAGGGTTTCATAGTAAAAATTAAAAAATAATATCAACCATAGTATTAAAAATCATTACAATCTTACAATGAGTTTGAACAAATTTTTAAAAGAAATTACAATGTATTTAAAAGTCAACACACGCAAATTCTCTTACAAGTGTTGTGTCTCCACGTGCCTCTTACTAGATGATTCCTGAAAAAGCATGTAAACGAGCATCAACTATATAAATAGTTCGTGAGTACTCATAGGTTTATAACATAATATAGTTTGAAGTCATGATAATCAGAATGTTGATAACAGATTCCATAAACAAACGTTCATTGCTAAAATAAGTAAATAAATTTTTATGAATGGAAGTTCGTTGCTAAAACGAGTAATAAAGTTTCCATAAATAGAAGTTTATTGCTAATATGAGAAACAAAGTTTGTTGCTCAAATGAGTAAACAGGTTCACTGCTACAAAGAGCAAACAAGTTCGTTGCTACAAAGAGGAAACAAGTTCATTGCT